AAAAAAAAAAAAAAATTTAAAAAATAAAAAGAAAAACTCGATCAAAATCGGTCACTTCGAGATGATCCCTTAAACGTAAGTTTCATAGTTATTCTAATAAATAACTGGAACCTGTATGACTGTTCGTATTAATCCGCAACTATCCCGAAATCTGTATTACTAGAAGATATATTAATTTCTTCATTTTCAACAGCAGTTTTATTAGCTATATTTGAAAGTGTTTGATGTACAGTTGAGGTTTGATTGTCAGCAATTTTTCCTTCCTCTACTGGTTGAACTGTCGTTAATGTACTCCACCAGTTAGAGAAAGCTCCTTTAGCTTGTGACAGTGCACCACCTAACAAAAAAAATATAATACATTCATTTGCTCATACAAATATAATTATACGTATCTGTCACGAAACGTTAATTAACATATTAAAATTAAAATACTTTAGTTAATTTAAAAACAATCGGAATAGATTTGTTCTAGAATTTTTCTTCTTTTCTTTACAAGAATGTATACGAGATTACATTTAAAAGAAATACTCTCGATCTTGAAATTCTTTAAAAAATGTTTTACAAAGGAATTTGTTATCCCTCTATATATATTTTTCATATCACTATAAGTGCGAAAGATATGTGATAAATATGATCCCATAATTTAAATGGTACAGTCTTTATAAACGAGTGTCATAAGTTTCAAACATTTCAAAAATATCATTATTAGTCTCCAGATTCATAAATCAAACATTTTTTATTCCATTTTGGAAGATGTGTATGATATCATCATCTCACGCGTAATAGCTTTTGTCATGTCCTTTAATAGCAATTGTAACTTGCAAGATAGTCGACGACTATTTAAAATTAGGACGACAATAATGGGAAATTATTGCAATAATAATTTGTAATGCCCCCGTAAATATTTTTGTGCTTTTAATGATTTGATAATAAAATAGTTTCCATGATTTGAAACGAAAATTCATCTTATTTTTATAGTTAAAATGTGGAAAGGAAAGAAGGTTACTATAAATAAATTTACAATCATTTATAATCTTCTTTTTTTCGAAAATAGACTATGTTACTTTTCTCTAATAATTCAAAATTTATTAAGATTATTATTTAATAAATTCTTAACAATTTTGTGCGTTTACTATGGTAACCAATTAAGAGAATCATTTAACATTTCTTGAAGTTTTAAAAATTAAAAAATCGTCTTTTTCAACAATTTAAAGCATACGCTATTATGTTATATAATAAATAATTAATAAAGTAATTATTATAATCACTACAAATCTCTCAAGAAATACCGTAATCATAACTATTGATATTGCAAGAATAAGATATTTTAGACTATTAATGGTGACGTTTCTACTTACCTACAGCTTTTCCAGTGGTTGCTACTGCCCTTCCAGTCGATGCCATTGCTTGATTCAATTTTCTACCACTTTCTGTATTTTGCATTGTACTGGAATTAATATATTAATTTAGTTTTACATATTTCTTAATTTTTAATTACCGAGATTATTAAAAACTTACTGTGATAATCGTAATTTCATATCCTGTACTGACAGTTGTCCTGCAAATGGGTGACCTGGTTCTATATTATTAATTTCTGGTTTATTAGAACTACTCCATATCTTATAGTTATTCGTTAAGCGCCAAGCAGCTATAAATGCAGAATTATAATGATCAGATTGACGAGTATCTTGTTGCATAGATGTTCTCAACATGCTCAACAAATAAACTCGAAATTGAGTTCTAATCCATTCATCTCCACCTTCCCATCCTACACCATCCAAAAATATATCTTTACGTGGTTCTGCTACATGTCTGACTATGTAATCTGCAAATCTTAGATCCTCAGTTGTAAGATGCAATTGTCTTCTTAATTCTGGATCACTTGTTTCTATCCTCGTATTTTCAATCTTAACACATTTTAATAAATTATCATTAATACAGTAGTTTTTATACAGAACAAGACTGATTTCATTTCATTTAAAACTTACCTCTACTAATACATCAATAAGTTGTTTTTTCTGTTTAAATAAAACATTTGTTGCACCTACTATGTATCCTCTAACATTAACATCGGCCAAAAGATCTAAATATGGTAAAGATAGATATGGCAAACACAGGTAACCCTTCAAAATGTTAATAAATTATTAACGATTTATCACACTTTTGATATAAGCAAAGATTAATGATCTTCATACCTTTGTAAATATGTTTAAAGGTAAACCACATAGTTCTGGATTTATATGAGCAATTTGAGTAATATTATTCGTTAAACGTGCATCAGAAAGTGCATCATTACTTGTATCACGTGGCAATGTATTATCGGTGTCTGTTGTACTTAATGTAATTGTATGTATACTCTGTACCCTGTGTATATTGTCATTTTGCTTCGAAGAATATATAGAATTATTTTCTTCTGGATAAGATTTGGTACATTCTTGTGCTGATTCAACTTCAATAACTTTCATATTTAAATTTTCATTTTCATTATTATTTTTTTGTACTGTTATATTTTTAAATTCATCCATACATTTACCTTCCATAGTTTCAATATCTTTATTATCGTTTATGCATAATGAACTTCTATCAGAATTACCGTTAATATGTACTGTCGTTCTATCAGATATGCTTTCTTTGACACAATTCGTAGAAGATAAATTATTATCAATGCTATTTATTGATATTTCTTCTTCATCAAATGTAGGAATAGGAGACATAGGTCTGGATGGTCTAAAAAAAAAAATAATAATAAAAAGTAAGCTATAAAAACATATATAAAAGTATTTTTTAAATTAAATATACTACCTGACACATGCAGCTTGTTGTAAACCATGTTCTATCATACCGGGATACAATGAGAGTAATGTTAATATAGTAGCACATAATGGTTGAACTGGCGACTGATAAAAAACTATTTTTTTCTCTAACAAAAGCAGTTTAAATAGTAAAAGAACTTTATGGCGAAACTGCAATATGAAATCTCTTGCAGATAATCCTACAAATATTAATTTTTTTATGTAAAATATTTACTTAAATTGTTTTCATTTACACAAAAAATATCTGATTACTGATAGTTACCAACAAAGATTTGTGGTGGTATTTGGCTGTCACAACTCATACAAGAATTAAGATGATGATAAGTATCTTCCAATAATGATACTTTACTAAAATCACCTTCTTCAAAATATGCATGTGTTATCAATGCCATTTTTACTTGAATATGGCCATACAATGGTAACGTGCTTAATACACAGACAGATTTTTGAACTGTACCTCTTGTTATATCAGATGTGCGATTTTTTAATTTCTGAAAATGTATAAATGTTTAAATAACATCATTTTTCACAATATAAAGATACACGGAACATATAATGAATATACACAATACAATTACATGGTTTTTATGGTGAAAGAGAAGACAAGAATTATAGAATAAATTCTTTTAATAAATTGCATAGTTTTCGAGAAAAAAAACTTAGAATTTTAAATTATAGGTACAGATATTTATTGTACACTTTCGTGGAAACAAACTTTAAAAATTCATCTACCATGCACTTGGCAAATAATGTTGACACATATAATCATCAATTGAATTAATCATAAAATTGTTTAACCTCCTACCTGAATTGGTACATTAGATGACGCTTAATAGTTTATTGTACGCTAACTTCCAAATGAACCACATGCAAGAAATTGATATTGGAGCAAGTAAATTATAATGATGCTTTTTTAAAATTTTTAAAAATAAAATTTCATCTGGAAAACTGTAAAATAAGAATTATTTAAATTTTTGGATATTACAAATTCTTTCCGATGCTAAAGAAATCCTATATTTTTATATATATTTAACCGTAGTAAGATAAAAATAAAATTTTTTACTTATAATCAAGTCAAAAAACGAAATTTTACACTGATAATTAAAATACATCAAAGTCGACTATTTTAACATTAGTAAATTCTATAAATAATTTCACAAAATATGTTAATAAATTTATTAATAACATTTTCTATAAGTACCATAAAATATCTTATATAATACCAGATTTATTTAAATACATTTTCAAAGTTATTTTTCTCGAAAATTACACAGCATACAAAATGTATTTAAGTTTGACAGTTTAATGACATTAAGCTCCTAAAATTAAAAGGTATTAATTTTCTAGATAAGATGCTTTGATTACCTCAACAGGAATTTGTCTAAAACATGAAATGCCATATATTGTGCGTTTTGGATTATTCAGACTAGGTAAGTGAAAATAAACTGTATCTTCGTCATAATTATGAGATCCATCTGGTAAAGCAAGAGTTGGTAAATACTTCCAACCTAACGGACACTCATTTGGAGCTCCAGGCACCAAAGGAGGAAATGAGTATTCTACCTAGCAATAACATAAAAAAAATACCATTTATAGATATTATGAATGTAAAATTCCTTATGTTGAATTTTGAAACATTATTATGTTTTAACAAAATTACTTTTATACATGTATAATAAATTAAAAATTTCCTAATTTATAAATATTTAAACATCATGATAGATCAAATAACATTTCATCATAGAAAAATACGAAATACGAAATGCGTACTAGTAGATTAGGTTACAAAGCTGTTTAGTTAAAATAGCAAGTGACTTACTTGACATCCTTTTTTATGATGAAATCCGACGACAATTACGTGAAGTATTGGTCCAACTGATTCTGCCATATTTTAAGAGTGTGTGTTACATAAAATTCATATATATTGCACGAACTTTCTCGTATATATTTTTTAACTTATTTATTTATTTTAAATGAGAAAAATATACTTTTCTGTTACCAGTTCAACTACCCACACTTGTACTTAGCACGCGTTCTCAACCACCATGTTAACTTCATGCTTACCAACTACACTGTTTAATTACAGTCTAGTTTAAATACATTTGGGCAAATAAATTTGGCAACAGTGCTTCAATAAACATAACCTCTCGATAGATTACCCGCAACTTTATGAAATATTTGTTGTATATTATGCTAATATATATTATCATGGTAAGTGATACAATAAAACAATTTTATTGTAGCATAATAAAATACATAACATACATATGACGTAGATTTGCTTAGTCCACACTAGCCATAACAATATATATATCCGGTGCTTGAGAAAAGCAATGTTGCCATATTTTCAATTTGTTTCATTGTTTGAATACTGGATTCCTGTTTGTACTTTGCACTTTACAAACAATTTTTTTTCACTGTATAATGTAGTATACAAAAGATTTTTTATTACATCAATTATTATGACAATATATTTTATCAAATGTCTTACACGTGGCATAGAAATAATCTTTATTTTAGAAAATTAACTGCAATAATATAAAGGAATAGTTTTTAAAATTACTTTTATTATCAGATACTTTCTTTTGTCAGTGATTTAATGAAAAAACTTATGCAATCATATGTTAGTTTATCATGTTAAAACTTGGAAAACAATTAGTAATTATATAAGAACTATTATGTATTATCATTATTCGTCAACGTGATAAAATAAAAAAATGTAATAAATATTTCAAAAAGTTCTGATAAACATAATTGTTTAATAAAAATGTATATTTAAAAATTAGAAAATTATATATTTACAAAATTACATGTTTTTTTACTTATAATAATAACACTTGCTCTATTTATAAATGAAGAAGAATAAAATTAATAAGAAAACAAATAATTATTTAAATGTAACAAAGAGAGATATCAAGAGAAATTTTTTATTATACAATTTCCTTTAAGATATTGAAAAGTATATACAGTTATAGAAAGTAAAATAATTTAATTTATACCATATTTTAAATAGGTATTTCATTATAATATGACATTTTTAAAATGACATTTGTAGATTTTAATTATCTCAATTAAATGTCTTTTGTTAAACGTAATGGTAATAAAATTAACTATACTGTACCAATGTATTATCAATTCTGTAAAGACTTAGTTTTGCCAATTTACATTCTTGATTTTAATCTTGATATAATCTATCTATAGCAGTGATCCTGCTGTGTCTCCTGGAGTGTTCCTATCCTCCATTTAAAATTGTAAGAGCGCTATGCTCATATTTGGTCAGAAATATTAGATTGTTTTCTGCCATCAGCCTCATAGCTGCCTCTCTTCCCTATGTTAAGAAGAAGGAAGAAGAGGAAAAGGATGGGTGGAAAAAGTTGAGCCTTGGAAGACGCGCTACCTGCGTACATTAAATCCCCGTGTTCCATCTGGTCCAGTAGGCATACGAATAACGTTGCTTGGTAGTCCACTGCTACTTGGAGTTATTGATTTTGGTTGAATTTTATTTATTTCTTGCATTAATTTTTCTTCCGGACTTTTTTCTTCGCCTAATATTCTTTTTCGTGCTTCTGCGTATTCTTGTTCCCTCTAAAAATATTTTTCTTAATAATTTTAAATCAATTATACAATCTGTCATTTTAGGATGTTAAAAATATACTTGTTTTAAAGATTTAATTGGTTGTTTTGGCTTATCTCCATTCACTAATGGTCCATCGCCACTACCTTGCGAATCTCTTGTAGGTCTTTTTAATATTTTTACTGTTGGCTTTGGAGGTACATATTGAGATCTCATACCATCTTCTCCTAACATTATCATTCTGGTACCCGTATTGTGACTGGACTTGAAACTAAGGCATTGCAATCATAAGACATAATTATTTAAAAAATGAATTATAAGCATAATTTTCATTCATAAATCTTTCGATATATTAATTTATGACTATTTTATAACAATTGTAGATCAAAATTTTATTTTACAAATATCTTTTTGATAGTACTTTCATATTAGCATTTTCTCCAGTATTCCACAGGCTTCTTAATTTATTCACTTTTTTTATATGCTTTAGATATTTTTTCATCGAGATTTTGCAAAATTTCCCATGATCTAATTTTTTAATCTTTTCTAAGTTTATAAGTCATCTTTATTTATTGATTTTATTTCTCCAAATATGGTATACCATATATATCAAAATTTTCTGACTGACATTTTTAAAATCACATTCAACATATTCAAATCTCAATATGTTTTTTATATATTTCTCAAACATTCTTTATTGTCTGAATAATAGAGTATTTCTTTCAAACTTATAAATTAATAAATATCGAAAAATTTGCAACAATTAATGATTTATATAACAAAAAAGATCAACAGGACAAAATAATATCAAGAACAGAACATGTTGAATATTAGATGACTTTACAAAAAATAAAAGAACAATGACTAATGAATTATTACATAATAGAATGTGATAATGATATCCTATAATAAAATCAATAACTTTTTATTTACTCCAATATTTAACACATCACGATTTTTAAAATTTCTAGTTTACATTCTTTTCAAATTTATATGCATTATTATATGTATACAATTCATATTTCTAACCTACCTAGAAGATTCTATTTCTTCTAATGCTTCTACTGCATTTAACTGAAGGGCATCCAATTTTTTGTCAAGCACCTAAAATTCATTGAATATTAATTTATTGAATATTAATTAATTAATTTGAATATGATTTTTTTCATTAAATTTAAATTTTTAATTATATGTTTCTAAAGAATTTTCCCAAGCATTTCAATGATTAAATTTATTTTGTTAAATTATTATTATTATTAAACAAGTATTAATCAAAGTATGTGTATTTATATATTAAATTAATAAAATTTTTAAATATTCAATAAAATAATGTTATTTAATGTGATGGTAAAAAAAAACGATATTTAATATTGATTGTTTGAATTAATTGTTCTTTTAATAATTCTATAAGTGCAACATATGTTATACATTCTGTTCATATAGTTTTGCTTTCATAGGTAAAAAAGAGATTATGGATAAAGATCTACATTGATTTTTTAATACATTTTTTAACACTTATAAATATTTATACATTTGATCATGTAGCAATGCTTTTGTTTAATATATGTTTATGTAATAACTTGTACTACAGAGTAAAACTCTAAAATATTTAATATTTAACCTTTCACATTTTACATATCTACAATACTGATAAATACATTAGTATCTGATAAGTAATATACTTTAATTGAATCAAAAATCTAGATTTTTAAATAAAGTACATCTTCATTACCAATACAATTATTAGCCACATGGATGCTTATTTATTTAACAGCAAGTATTCGTATTCAAATATAATCGGAGAAATTTTTTTTTTTCGTGGTAACAATGTGTAAAATCGCATTATTAATAGTGTTAAAGTTGAAATTAACGTAGTCCATAGTATAGGTTAAGATAATTATTTCATTGTCAAATGAAGTTTAAGCAATACTGTCTTAAATATAGCGTAAAAAACAATTCACCTCTGATTCTTCAATTTCTTCCCAACTTTCAAGAATGTCATCCACAGCTGACATTTTTCGATTTCTACAATTATTTTTAACTATTATAAATCACCTTGAAAAAGTTAACAATGCTCGCATGAATCGAAGAACATATACATGTGTGTAAGATTGGTACATGAAGGTATCTTACGGCAAGAGAAAAGTTAAAATAGCCGTGTTATGTCACATCTGCCAAATAAAGGAACCGAATATTTCCTAGATTAATTTCTTCTTGGCGCAATATTCAAATTGTACCAAACATTTTATGAAATCACTTGTACATGCAATGTACAAATATTGACAAGTAATTTATTGTAGTATATAAATATCAATGAGGATTTAATTTTAATCTTAATTACAATATTGAGAAACAGAATTGATTTTTCTACCTATTTTTTATTCACATAATCAAGATATAATCAATAATCCTAAAATATTTTTTAATTAATTTCATTAATTATACAAAACAAAAATATTAATATTACCTGCAATATTAAGTCGAACTATTTCCTCACTTTCAAGAGAATCATCTGGAAACACATCAATGTCAAATTTTTAATTTTATTAAATTAAACAAAATGTAGAGTGATAAATGCTCTAAGTAAAGACTAACAATTTCTTTATTTTCTTTACATTGCAACGTATATTAAATAAATTTCTTTTAAATGCAAGCATTAATTCTAATATTAATTAATTATATTATTGCTGTTGGCTGGTTATACAAAGTTATTTCTCTATTTGAAGTGCAACAAATGCAATATTTATTGTATTATATTTTATATATATATATAAAATATTTATTATATCATATTATATACATATATTATAATATTTATTATATTATATAAGATTTCCTTTTATCCATCTTAGTCTAAGCTGTTCCCGAATAGTATAATGATTCATTTTTTTAATGTTATTCTTTGCTTCCATAGTAGCCTGATAACGTGCAGGATCAATTTTCCCAGTATCATGAATTGTACCATTTTCATGTATATAATACGTGGTAAACTCATCAATTGTCTTTGGTAATTTTTCAGGTAATTTCAGTGGGACAATTTTTATTAAATGTTTAACTTTCCAAAGCATGGCACATATCTCTGGTATGTTTTTCACAAATATTGGTTCATTTTTCTGTAAAAGATAATACATGGAACTTAGACAAAGTTGAGGAGAACCTTAATTTATAAATTGATTTAAGGTTTAAATAAATATAAATTCTTACCTTTTCTTCAAATCCCAGATGTGAGAGTGTATCTTTCTCCCAGTAGGGATTACCCTTCCAAGGTTTTACTCTAAAAACCATTAAAACTTTCGATGGTACAATTGGAGGATCTACATGGTCTATTTTGCTGAAACAGAAAATAACGAAATAGAAAACGATTAATGAGCACAAGTCAATGATGACATTTTTTTTCTTACTGTGGATGAAACTTGACTTTTTCGTATCTAATGGCATCCTTGAGCCACGCTCTTGTATACTGTCGATGACCACGTACAAACGTTAATAAAACATTGAAACGACTTGCCATGTTTCATCTGAGTTATGAATATTATTAGGTTATGTCACAGACGAGGTATACGAATAAACTAAGCATCTTACGGGATTTCGTGACTCGTGACCTGAAATACCGACATAGTAAAAAATCACTAGTTTTTTAGCGCACTATACATTTAAACAACAATGAGTTGGGGAACTAGTGAATACGCTAGTAATATGATTTTTTATACCCGTTACGGTATTGTCACACTTTCAATACCGAAATGTAAAGCTCGTCTGTGACTATACCAAGTAAAATGATACATACAAAATTTAATTTTATTTCCAGATCTAATTTTATCTCCAAAACACGAGATTAACATCTAAC